TGTTCCTTCTCTGAAAATCTTAAGCTTGCAAACATCTACATGACTGTATTTAACTCAAAAGGGGGAAATCCATACATGCAGGTTATACTTAAACATACCTTGTCAGAGTACATCTTCCTCTCCCTTTGCACCTGGATGCACGTATTGTTTGTGAAGGTCCTGAACTCTGCCTCCTTCTTGATCTACAGGGAAAAATTTCTGCCTCTTCAAGAATTACCACCGTCACAGAAATGCAAGTTCTCTTCCAAGAAAACTTCTACGCTGCTATTCTCAATCTTGTGGAAGCAAAAGCAGCTGACACACTGCTGGATCCATGCAGTGAGATGACACTTGGATGAGAGCAGGTAAGAATCCCCAGAGCAGGGATGGACAAGGTCTGAGACTACTTCAAATTTAAAAGAAAGAAAAACCCCAAAATGCAGCTGAGAACTTTGTTACACAAACACCACAAGTGATAGGAACTGATGGCAGGAAAAAATAGGATGTGTTGTCAACTACTACTGGTAACAAATCTTTAGAGTTGTGAAGACCGAAAGCTGAAAGGACATGGGGCTTGCAGGCTGCCAGAACTTAGGGTGTGTTAGGAAACACACACCTAATGTGGACCTTGAGAAGCCTATAGCAACCAGAGAATGCCTTGGGGCAAGCTAGGTGTGCTCAGTATTAGCATCATGTGAATACCTAAGGAAAGCAAGACCCTTTCTAATTAACTTTTTGCCACCACTGTGCAATTCAGGGGGTCTGTCCTTTGCCATGCAAACCATTCTCAAGTATTTTAGAGCTACCAGCTCCACGCTAGAGAATCTTCTTGACAACTCTGAATTCTCTCCAACTCCCACTGCCACAAATCACAAATATTTTTTGATGGTTACTCCTCCTTCCCATGCCCAAATCTGAAAATGACACAAAGTGCCAGATACATCATTGCAGCTGAGCTTTGCTTGTGCAAGACCCAGCAATAAGAGAGTAAGTGGGTAAACGTAGACTTGTGTTTCTTTGGTCCTAGTATCAGCTGCAAGCAGTGCAGAGGCAGTACTGGCAGCTACAGGTCCCTGAGAAGTTGTGGCAAGCAAGCTACAAGACCCCATACATGTGAAAACCCACTTCCATCTACAGTATCTAGAGGTATTGCAGGTATTGTGATTTATAGAGTTACACCTGCCTTCTGACTATGTTGCATGGCCAGAACAGTGGACATGAGCTTGAACTGACTCCAGGATGTAACACAAAACTCTGTTAATTGTTTCCAAACATTTAACATGGGGGTGGGGGGTAAATTAATCCTACTTGTCTGCAGTAAAGAGGAGTAAAACAAGGAACTAATGCTACCAAGCAAGAACAGAGATTAAAAAAAATACTATCTCTTATTCTGTGATATGTTCTATGCTCAGCACCATTCAGAGGTAGTGCACATGTGCAGCATGACCAAGAAAATGTAAACCAAGACAATTTGAACATTGCTTTGTAGAGTCAGGTCCATTTCCAGAAAAAAATCAGTGTATAGCCATGCTCTTAGCTGGCATATCCAGTTACTGAGATTGAATGTGCACATTTGGATGGAGTTTTTTGATGGCTCTTCTTTTGAATTGCCTTTTTATATCCAGATCTAATCTCTAATCAGATTTACCTTTGGCCTCACGATCCAAGACTTCTACAATCAACCAAATTAAATGCTTTTACAGATATCCCCAGTTGTTTAGAAAATTAAGGTCTGCAAGAGTTTTCCAACCCTCTGTCCATGCGGTATTTCTGAAAAAGGTTTTGGTTTTGACTTTTCAATGTGGTGTTCACAAAGCGCTGTTCAGGAGCCACTTCAGTACAGAATATGCAAGATGATAGAATGAATTGAGGTTTAGCCTCTTACTGAATGTAAACCTGAAGTTAATCCCTAATTGGTAGAAAAAATGAGCAGAAATCAGAAACCTTTCACAACTGACAACTGAAAAGAGACATCCCAAAATATTCACCTTTAATTGATGCATTGTTCATTCCTGCAGGGTTTTCTCTAAAGGAATTATCCTGGGAATGCCACCAACAGCATTAAACAATACTTATTTGTTTTACATCTGGTTTAGCCCTTTATTTATTTATATTTTACCTGAAAATGTATTTTCTTAGAGACTTTATAACAGCATTTCTGCATTATAAGTTCATTTTTTTTTTTCTCATTCCTGGATATATTAACCAGGAAAAGGAATCCCCAGTCTGTAACAGACAGATTAATTCACATGTTTTACTTTGTTCACATAGAAAAATGCAATTTCTGGATCATTGAGGCATATGGATTATGAACAAGACACTCCAAAAACTAACTATCCAGATGGGGCTATACTTACAAAAATCTTTTATGTCAAAGTCAGAATTTCACAACGTAACACACTAATGCAAAATCCAGTAGCACCTGAAAGATTAAGGTAGCTGCTGCTATCACTTGCACATACTTGAAAAAGATATAAGAAAAAAGAGTAAAAGTACATTCTCCAGAGAACAGCAAGTGTATTTTGAAATAAAAACCTGGTTGTTTTTTGTTTTGTTTGCTTGGTTTTTTTGTTGAGTATTTATTTAGGTTTTTTTGGCTTTTTTGTTTTGTTTTTTGTTGGTTTTTTGTTGGTTTTTTTTTTACAAGACTGTAGTTGCCATATAACAAGGTATATGTGATGTGGCTATTCATGGTCATGTTTTCAAGCTATAGCACTCAACAGTTTTCTCATATACATATTCCCATCATTTCATCAAAGATAGATACAATATATAATCCCCATCTCTGGGAAAGTAATGTATCAAATAGGCAAAATTTCACAACAGAAGTGGAGAGGCTAGAGTAGGTATAGCCACTTAAGTATGAACTTTAGGTCACAATTCCTAAACACTCGCCTACTGTACAGAAACAATAAAAATAGTCTTAGCAATAGGATTTTATTTATATGTGCACGTATATCCACCTTATCCCATATTTATATTTGGCAACTATTTGGGAATTCAAAGGTGCAGCCCTCAGTAATTGTATTGTTTAAAACAAGAAATGAAGTGTCTCTGCTCTATGAGAAAAGAAATTCTCAAATATCAATTTCCAATTTTAAATTTAATTTCAATAGGAAAATATTAAAAATGTGCACATCTAAATTTTTCCATGTTCTGTATATACATATGTGTGTGTACGTATACATAGAAATATTCATGTACCACACATATTCACAAAATTTAAGTGGAAGTATTTCTGTCCACTAGTTTCTCACATGTAAATGACATAATATCTTTTAAAATGTCAATAATAATATCATTAAAAATAATACTACATTTATTCTATCATCAGCTTTCTGTGGTTTTGTTCTTCATCCTTATTAGGTCCACTGAGCATTAGCAGGCCAGATTCTCCTTACACTTTCACAGATGTTAGGCCAAGTCGATGTTGCTGACATCACATCAAGGACTCATCTGGTTTAGAGCAGCTCAAGTGACAGGAGAATCAGTCCCAAAGATCCCCAAGTGAATTAAAAACAAGTCGTATCTGCTCATCTGGACCTGATGAAGATATACACACCACCATCTAAAATCTACCAAATGAAAAACAAGTAGCTCACCACAAAGTTTTCAAGCAGTAGCACGCTGAACCAAGCTCCCCCCACCCCTTTAATAAATGAGAAAATCCCCTCAAAATATGAAACTTAAACATTGTGTACATTACATACCATATAATACACGATGGTTTAGCATTTTACCTAAACCATTTTCCTGACTAGTCAGGGGAGACCTGATAAATCACTGGTAAAGAAAAAAAAATATGATATTTTAGAAAGAAAGTTTGTATTTCTAAGATAAATGAGAACCTGTGTGTATTATATGGTATATACACACAGTACACACATGAAAACAAACGTAGCTTTCCTAGTTCTGAATAGCAGTCTCTAAGTGGAGAAAATCATGTTGTACCATTTAATAAGCAGCTAGAATTCATGTTTAACATTCAAATTAATTTGGGGAGCAAATAAAGGTCCGTGCATCTTTTGACTCTTAAGTCTGACACTCATTCATACATTTTAAAAAAGCCCTCTTAAATATTACAAGCAATTTATGGCAAAAATGTACTTTGATGCAAGACACATGACACTTGGCTTACCTTTCGAGGAGATTTTTTTAAAATAAATCTGTTATATAAAGAAATGTATGTTTGCCAAAAGTCTGTTAAAACTACATCAAAACAACTTTAAATCCTGCTTACTGAGGATAATTGAATTAAATTTCCTGTTTTTAAACATTTAGTTAACAGTTCAGAATATTGCCTGGTGTGGTTTCAATAAAGATGTGATATGAAGACCCATAAAAGAGTAAACATGTCTCCATTTCAATTTGCTATGACAACAAAACTTCTAGAAACAGCTTTCTTGGCTGGACAAGTTCAGTGTATGAGTAAACCCTTGCAATAGCTCCATGCCCTTAATGCAATCTGTAGCAAAACAATGCTCCCCATAAGTCAGTATTCACAAAACCTGAAATTCATGTAACATTCTGAAAAAGTCTCCTGCAGAACAGGTTAACAGTTAATTGAACATACATACTCAATAGAGGTATCAAGGCCAGAAAACAAATGACTGGCTATTCCTTTTTATCTGTGCCAAATCTGTGTCAAATTTTATGTTTAAAATTCTCTGGGGTTTTTGGCCTTTTTTTTCTTTTTCTTTTCCCTAGGGGGACTCACTTTCTGTCATTGGTTGGCCTCACAATAGAGTTAAGTGGAAGATAGTATCTCACTGTAATTACATGGAATTCATATGAACAAGTAAACCTTACATTGGACAATATTGTAGAACACCAGAGTAAACTCAATCAAGAAATACAGTATCTTCCAGGTTATATATATATATATATATATATATATGTATGTATGTATGTATATATATATATATATAAAACCCCCAAAAAACAACCAACCAAAATAACCCCAGAAGGAAGATCTTTATACAAGCAGTTATAGTAACTTTGTTTCAATTAAAGATGCAGCTCTCTCTCACTCCTGGCAAGAATAAATTAGTAATGTCACTGCTTCTCCACAGTGCAAAGTATCCTGAGAAATTATTAAGAACAACGAAATAAAGGGCTGTCATCACCAAGTTCTTGCACAAAACACAGCAATTAAATATCTTAAATAAATAAAACAGCAGATTACCTATATTTTGTCTACCACAAAAAAGGGGACGTGATCTGGGACACTGCTAATTCTTCCACTGCTGATAATTAGAAAATTGAATTGCATTCAATTACTGTTAATATCTTTCAAGTTATCTATGGCCAATAACACAGAAGGAGGTAATTTGTAATTCAAGGTTTTTTCTGTTTGTTGTTTTTTTTCTTCAACTAGCTACAAGTTAAGGTTTAGATTTTACATTGAAATGTGACTCAAATTTAAAACAAGCCCTCTCTGAGGAGCATTTTCTAATTTTGTGCAACTTTGATGCAGAGCCCAACACAGTCCTATGAAGAGAGACAGTGCATCTTTAAGCTGTTTGGCACTGAAATCCCATTTCCTTTAGCTGCATTCTATTAGCTTGGCCAAGTTATCTCGTAACTCTGTTAGTTCAAATATTTTTCCATCAAGAATTTCTAAAAGTGTCTTCAAGTTATTGCGAAAAGCTTCTTGCTCATTCTGACTTTTCTCCAGACGTTGCTCTAGATCAGCCAGCTGGCCTTCCAGGTCTTTGTTTCGAATTTCTACTTCCTTCAGAGAAAATACATAACATGTTAATGTGTTGTCTGCAAACAGAAAGCAGTCTAACCTCTTGCCAGTATTCATGTGCCATTTTTGTCAACTGTTTTTTAAAATAATTTGTGAGCCTTTACAGTTTCCACTATGCCAAAACCAGAACCCAAACTGTTATTATTACTGTGTATATATTACCACTTCCTTATCTTATTCAGCAGCTCACCTGAAGGACAGAAACTTTTGCAGAGTGATAAATTTTTGTCAGTGAACAATGGACGTGATAATCTTTTTCAGCTAAGTTATTGTTTCTACCATTCAGAAATGTGCCAGCTATGAAAACAGCTTTTCAAAGGTTAAGTTCAAGTACTCCTAGATTTAGATTACATTAATTGCTCAAGGACAGAGACCTTAAAAGGTCTCATACAGAAACTCATCCATAATACTGCCTTATAGATGGAGGAGTACTGCCCATCTTATAGGCCTTTTCACCCTGAGAATTAAGACAGAAACATAAACTGGCAAGACTGATATCAAGGTGACACTGATAGTAGCAAATTTAGCCTAGCAAAGCTCAAGCTGAGGATCCTGTCTGGCTGCAAGGGTGCCTGGAGCAGCCCCCACAGGGCAGTGCTGGGAACCGGGAAGGGCGCTGCCCGGCCACGCTGCCTGGACAAGAGGGACGGATGAAAGTGGGACACGTTACACGCCGAGTGACAGGACTGGACCCTGAGCAAGCTCAGCTCTCACTCTGGGAAGAGTGAAGCCCCTGTCCCCATCCCACTAGGACCCCTCCAGCAGCCTTGCCCTGCGTCTGACAGGGGCCGGAGGTGACGGCTGCTGGGCCCTTGCTCGGTAGCTGCCCTCACTGCCAACTAATTAATGACTAACGTAGCAGTCGCGTGGGTCTGGAACTGCACGCTGTTGTTTGTCCCACTCACTGCACGTCTCATAAATTCAGGCTGATTTCTGTAATTTCACTTACGAAAAACACCTTCAGAGGCAGCACAGGGACCAGTGCATTCAGCACACCGCACAGCCTCTGCAGCCACTCTCTGGAAAAGTGCATAGTAAGTCTGTATTTACATACATTAGCATTTTTTCAATTCCATTTTCCTTTACAGCAGCTTTGTGTCAAGCAGCATTAGTGGGCCTGCTCTGAGCTTTTACAACTAGTTTCACGCAGCCACAGGGGGAGAGATTTGGCAGCGACCGCTGCTCCCAGCACCAGCAACTCCTCTTCCTGCCCTCCCACTCTCCTACTGCTTTTGTTATGACTCTTCTGTCTCACTCAAAGCTAACAAACATGTTCATGTTTATGGTGGAGACACCTCAGGTAACCACAAGAAACAGCCTGACGCATACCAAAGATCTATTTGGGCTGCCACGAGGAACAGGTATAAAATGGTGGACTTGAGTCCAAGTCCATGGCCCAAGACATAGTTCCCTCCAGGAGGGGTCTGCCAGCAGCATGGGTTGGCCACTGCTTCCCTGGCCAGAGCAGGGGTGGGGTGGCCAGTGCTCAGTGTTGGCTCCCAGCTCTCCCAGGGAGAACTCAGGGACCCCCGCAGTGGGGTATGGGTGGAGAAAGCAGAGCCTCAGGAACATAATTTCCCTGTAACCTTGGCATATTCCAGATGAACTGGAATACTTCCCTTACCTCTTGTTTGTGGCATGTTAATGGGCAAGCTAAAAATTACAAAGTTTAGAGCACTGGCCTTGAACAGCACAGCTGAGAGAAGGAATTGCCTCTTGCTGCCAGGATCATGAGCTAATGCTGAACAATATAGTTGTGAAAGCACTGAAGTAAGCTAAATTAAGAGTATTTTTAGAAACAATATAAACTAAAACACATAGATGCTTATGTAGTAATTAGCTAAATAAACTAAATGGCTGCTGTAAACAAACAAGCTAGCTGATAATAACCCTGCCATACCCTCTGAAGGCTCTTCTTCACTGAGACTGCTCCAAATCTAGTACTGACAAGTACCACCTCGTGCACTGACTTCATGGGTGCAAGACCCTCTGAGGCCACGTGACTGCAGTACAGGACAAAAAGGGAAATTAAAGATCCTCTCAGCTCTGCAGTAATGGTGCAGTCCTGTCTTCAGCTCACACAAAACCAGTTGCTGCTTTCCCATGTTTGCTCTTAAGTCCTGTTTCTTCTGGCCCTGCTCTTCTTCTACTCATCATATGTGTGTACTCTAGGAAGTCTGTCTCCTTGCCACTGCTCTTACCCCAGAGATAATTAATTTCTACAAATAGGCAAGCCAGTGATGAAAAACCACTAAGTTAGTATTAATAATTTTTGCAATAGCATTGCATTACAACTTCCTCTTCAGCTCATGTGCAGCTCCTTATTACAATGCACTTCACCCCAAAACTTGCTTCTTGACTGGAAGCAGGGGAGAGGTGTCCATGTAATGTAATCTCTTCCCCTAGCTGTGTAATTTCATTTTACTTGCAGTTAATATCATCTAATAATAACACTTCTGATATATTCAGGCTCTTTGCAAGGTGTATTCTACACTGTTCTTTCAACCCCTTCTGATAGCAGACACAATAATTTCTCATGTATTGTTTTTTTTTAGAAAAGATACATATTATTTACAGGTTATGTTTATTGTTTGCACAGTAATAATACTTTGTGGAATTTCATGCAAGTATCTAAATAAAATATTCTAACCATACACAACAGGTATATTTAGGAATCAGTGACAGTAATAAAGAAAGATACCCTGACTTACTGTGAGTCACACTGACGGTGACTTATTGATATGTCTTCTCTACATGACTAATAAAATTATTAAGTAACAAGGGCCCAAATATTTACCCTTCACAGTGATAACATACTGCTCTTCACTGGAATTTGCCAGTGATAGATTTCTAATTCTTTCCCTGATATAAGTGTCAGAAATGAAATACACCTTGAAATAGTCATTCCTTTGTATAGCATTTTTCATACAGACTACATTGAAAAGTATTTTAAAGTTACATAAACCATTTGAAAGCAAAAGAAGGAAAAAACAAAGCAGAAGACAAAAGAGCAAAAGAAACAGATACGGGCCCTGAAAACAGAGGATGAGTCAACTAAGTGAACAGCAGTGAGATGGTTAGTCTGGAGCTACAGAAGAAAACACCATTTCACCGACATCACACATGTGAGGTGAAGTGGCTCAGAGAAGGCCAGTACAGTCAAAGCAGGATGACTATAGCAAAGCAAAGAGTCAAGGTCTTTCGGACAGACTGTATCAGGTTACTATTAAGCCTTAAGCTTAAGAAAGACATCTTAGAAGCATACAGAACTATTTTCAGAAACTGATTGCCTACCATGTGACACACAGACATATATACACAACATATCTATTTGATTGCTAAATATATAAATATGCCAAAATGAAGCTACCAATTTTATGAAGTAAAAATTTCAATAAAATCTTAGAATTTCCTAATCTTTCATCTCTTACTAGTCTCTCATAATTCTGCTTCCTAAGGAAAGCTAATTCCTGGCTTATTACTACTTTTCACATGATCTTATATCAAAATTATAGCATGTGCTACTGCTAGAACAATTTCCAACTTTAATTCCCCTTTTGAGACTGTCAGATAGGCTCCTTTTCAGCTGAAAACTCCCATTTTTAGCCTAAAGCCAGCAACAAGTTTTGGAATAGTGAAACAGGCAAGCTCAGGTATATTCAAAGCAATTTTTAAAGTATTTGAAGCAATAACATAGTTTTTCCAAATCATTTGAAAAAATAATGGGAAAAAAATAATAAACTTATTTTGCTCTTACACAGTTTATTCTGGAGGTTAAAATGAGATTCAAGAAAGTTCCAACTCTGGTAAAGCTTAATCAATTTTACACTGTGGCTAGTCTGATGGGCTTGCTTTCAGTATGATTTAGGTCAAGTCACAGAACAGTGAGGGTCACCTTGCAGCACACTTCAGATCTGGAGTTTTTAATGCCTGAGTTTCCAGTCCTATCAAAACTCCAAAGACTGAATTCAGAGCTTAAGCCACATAAGCTTTGGGTCAGCTTCATTCAGAAGATAGATGTGACAAGCATGGTATGTATGGGCTGGATGGTCAGCCCAGTGACAGACAGACAGGAGCTCAGGTGTAGCAAGGGAGGATAGAATAAGGTCATGCTGAGGTAGGCTGAGGTATTTGGGTTTGCACACAGTAAAGAAACAACCCGGAAAAAACCCAATAAAAACACAATGATCCTAAATAATCCCAAGAAAATGTCAAAGTGGGATTTTAAAGTTTGTACTACACCAGTATGCTTTAACCTTTACTTTCTCAGGGCATGTTTAAAAGCTGAGTACAAACTCATTCCAGCCAGATGACACCCAGCCTAACAGATTCAGTGGCACACTGGGAAGACACAGCAGTGAAGATGAGACCAGGACTGCCCAGGACACTTATCGATGAAAGATATCAGCTAGCCTAAGAGCACTGTGTGCACTGGTAAATGAAATCTGGGTCAGTTCCCTCAAGTAAAAGCAGCAACTAACAGCATGTGGAAATTTTGACACAAATTCCCAAGAATCATCCCAATCCACCACTTTGCAAAGGAGAATACCTTACATATTCATCTGGCACCTTCTGTGAATATAGAACAAGTTGTTGATGTGAACTGCTTCCCTGATCATCATTTGTCCCTTCTCTCTAAATTAAGACAATACACTCTGGCTTACCTGTAACTTCTGGGTCAGAGAATCCCTCTGTGCCTGGAGCTCTCTGGCATTGTCGATTTCTTGTTTCAATCCTTCTATTTCCTAAGGGAGAAGAAACAACCTTGCTAGCAACAAATTACCTGGCTTGGCCTCAGTGCAGGTAAGCTGGCTACTGCTTCTTATCCTCTGCAAGCCATTGCAATGATACCAGAACTGACAATTGGCTCCTGCCCATCCCAGCACAGGAATTTTAAGCCCTGCTCTCAATACTCCCGACTCACAGTCCCAAAACAGTAATACTGTTGTGAATAAACAACAAAACATATAAGCATTTTCTTTTAGAGAAGTCTATGTTTTCCTCTTCCACACAAAAGATCTGAAATATTTTTTTCCTGGAAAATTAAAGATCATTGTAATTAGATACACAATTTTATACTTTAGATTCTATTACAATGCATCCTTCTCCATCCTTCTCCATTTTTTTTTGGAGAAAAACCCAGTTTTCATCTGCGAGATGCTTATTATGCCACTAGCAGCAGTGCTGAGTATCAAAAACTGCCTGCTTTGACCATTGATTTCTGTGAAAAAGAGAGTCTGAAAGAAATGCTATCTCTAATTTAGCAAGAAGAAAGTAGTAAGTTATAAAAATAGCAAACACAGGTAAAATAAAGAATGGAAGAGAAACCTTTTCTTAGCTTACTTTCAGGACACCAGAATACAAACAGTTAACAAAACTAAAAGGTATCAAACTTTAAACCATTAAGTATTTTCCCCAGAAGGGCATGTTCACTTCCCAAAATTCCTTTTGGAAAGACTCCTTTGAAGCCAGCAGTTCAGCTTAATTCAAAAGTCAATGGGAACCAAAATGGGAGCCATTATCAAGCTGAGGCTAATCTCTTCCGTATGTGGGAGTTTGGAAAAGGCTTTGTTCCAGTTTGGGATGATATTCTGTAAGTAGTGTTGTTTTTCTGCACCCTCCTTGGAAACATGTAACAGATGCTCCACTGAAGGCAAGACCTTGCAGCAAGATACACTACCCTTCCAAACAGCCTACTGTCTCAGGCTACAAGGGCTCAAGGGATCTGGTCTTCCACGGGGCAAAGAATCCTTCATACACTTCTCCTTCCATCATCTTTTTCCCATCCATAAAGGGGCAATTCTTGATCATTCCATGGAACAAATGTGCTTTCCTCTAGGAACTGTGCCAGTGCAGGTGTTACTCCAATTCCTGTCAACTTCTTGCTGCTGGTCCAGCCCAAGGCAGATGTCACAATAAATGACATCAAGTTTCAGGATGGGGCCTTGGCATGTGTTAAGGAAAGGGCTGATCTTAGGGATCATTAAAGTTATACTAACAGTTAAATTAACACAGCCTGAAAAACAGTTTGGCCTGAAAAAGGCACTGATCTACTTCTTGCTTCAAATCCTGCTCTCCAGAATAAACAAAGCATGCTTACAACAGCTTCCCTTCTCATTGGATTTGGACTGAATCAGTGTGATGACTGCTCTTTGGAAACCACTTACGACTTACAAAGAGAGCAAACAGAGATGCTTCATAAAGGCAAACAGGAAAATATTATACTTTTTGCTGTTTTTGTTGTTCAGATACCAGCCCTATATTGGACCAATGTAATTATATACATAGAAAAATATGAATAATTACGAAGAAGATAAAAAAACCTTGTAACATCTATAGGAAACAACATAGTATTTACTAACCATCACAAGCTTAATACTGAAAGCCTTTAGAAATGACAAAACAGAAAAGCCAAGAACAAACGTTAGCAAATACCTCTTCTTTCTTCTTCAGTGTAGACTCTAGCTCCTGTATTGTCTGGTTTAATTCTGTTTTATGTGTGTGGACTGCATTGGCTTGACTGCTCACACACTCTAGTTCAGTTACCTGTTGAAGTAAGTAAAAGCAACACATACAGAATTAATTTCAACAAACTCAAGGTACCAATAATTCTCTGCATCAACAGCTACATTTGAAAGATACCCTTAGTTCTGAGTGACTTAAGTTGATTAAAATGGCAAAGGTGTTCTCAGGAAGTTAGCATAAAATTCACTAACAAATTGTTTAGCATACAATGGTTGCTATGACTTTCTGGAAACAATAATTAGAAGTTATACTTACTAATTATTGAAAAAATTATGAAAGGAGCTGAATTACCATTTTGGAAACAGTCATGGCAAAATAATTAAACACAGATCTGTCTGTCTATCTAGCCTCTCCATCTGACACTTTTAATGTCACACCATCTTATCCAACTAAGCCCCAATGCTCCCCCACTTCCTATCAAGACAATTAACATTTTGTGGCCTCAGATTCTGACTCAGCATGGAAAGTGTAAAAGCAGACAATGTACAGCTACCAATACACAGCTGCCAACTTCCTACTTCCTCTAGTTTCAGATCTCATGTCTCAGTCACAAAGCCAACAGCTAATGGCACAATTTGGATTTGCACAGTTCCTCTTTATTAGCAGACAGCAAACACTCTCCATCTGCCCTTGGATAAGTTAAGGTACCTGGCAGTGGTATGCCCTTTTTATTTTGTGTTTTTAATCAGAGAGATGCTAATTCACAGATAAACTGCTATTCACAGATAAACTGTTGTCAAAAATAGCTTCTGCACCAAAGAAATAAAATCTATGCAGAAAAGTTTTTGTTCATGTAGTTCTCAAATTACAGATCAAAATATTGGACAACTCTCACACTGCATGTCTGCATGGATGTGTAAACTAATACCCTTTTGTTTAACAACAAACTGCTAAAGTATTAAAAATAATATTTAAAACCTAGTAACTAATTTTTAACCAGAAGATATGAGCCTGTCAATTTTAGTGTATGGTCTTCAACAGAGCTGCACCATCTATCTACAGTAAGTAAACAATCTGTCCCAAAAATGCCTTTGAACTAAGTGCTACCCAATTCTGCAAAGAAAACCTTTTTCGGAGAAGCAGCTCCTAGACAGGGGTAGGCATTCTCCAGGAACATTGTATTTCTTCAAGAGCTCTCAAGGAATCAAGTTTGGTGCCCTCTAGGACCAATGTAATCTAGCTAGTGAAGCCACTGTGATGACAGTAATTTCTGTTTGTAGGCTCACAAGGTAGATTACTGAGCGTAGTGGGAAGCCAAAGGCAAGTCAAGATGAACTATAACAAAATTAAAACAAAATCTCAGCAACTCCTTTCTGAGTCACAGGGCATCAACTTTCCCTCTGTAACAGTCATGACACCTCTAGTTTCTTCTGCTGGAAAACTGTGATTATATGTATTTGCACATCAACATAGGTTTATAAATTGAGAGAACAGAGATTACTGAAAATTATTGGGTGTGCTAAGTGGGATGAGAGATGAGAATACACCTTGGTAACACAACACCCCACATCTTGCCCCAAAGAACTATCTTATTTGCTGGAATTGTCCCAAAATAAATACCTGTGCTCATGGCAAAAAGTAATAGCAGTTTGCTCAGTTTTATATGCCATTGAGCATGATAACTGAAGTCTTAGATATTGTTCTCAATTTGCTTCAATTACACAAAAATATATCTATTTAGATACCTTGGAACTGGAACTCCTGCTACTAATTGTGACTGTTATAGTATTCACCACTACAATGACATAAACTCAAAGACCCAGAACTGGAGTACACCAACTGGGATGAACCTGTCTACCCAGTGCCTGAACTAACATCCAGATACAGGAAGAATACACAGAGTAGTTTAGGCTGGAAAGGGACCCTGGCAGTCAACAGGTCAAGATCTCTTGTTCAAAATGGGGCAAATATTGAAGTCACATTAGGTTGCTTCAGTATTTAGCAGAGCTGCCACAGTTTCATGCAGGTTCCTATATTTCTGATGCTGTGGGCTTACGGAAAATTCTAGCTCATTCCCAAGTTTTGCTGGAACTGTTGAACTCACTCACCTCACCTACCATTCACCTTTTCTGAAGTTTAACTTCCTAAACATTCCCAGGCTTTTCTGCTGAATTGGAGGTAGAAGCCTCTCTGAACCCACAGCTTATGGGAAACCAGGGTCAGGGCCTCTCTTCTCCCCACCCCATTGTGAAAGGCTGGAACATTGAATGGTAACATCCAAGAAGGTCAATCTCTCTTTTAAAGCTGTTGCACTCAGCACTGGCTCTTACCAAGCACTGGTGCAAGTAAATATATCATTTACATGAAGTGTAAGAGCCTCAGCTGGAGAGAGAGAAGAAAATGTAGCCCCCAAACCACCTGTGACCTTGCACACACTGCCTTGGACAGAGGTGTGCAGAGGTGCCTCATCCTGTGACTGAAGAAGTGCTTGGACCCTCACTGTTCTCTGCCCGGTTTCTTTGGGCTGCTACACAAAGAGAGGACACGTGCTGGTGCAAGCTTGTAAACCAAGGAGGCTGACGGACTGAACTGTGGTGGATGAAATGTTACTGCTCTCAGCTGCCAGTGCTGTTGCTGGCTGAGAACGCCTTCCACAACAGGCCCAACAGCTGCATGGTTCATGAGAACACTCTCTGCCACACTCAGGTCCATACTAACTCCAGACATCTATTGAAATTGCTTAAGCAAACACAGGGAATTTTGCTAGAGCAGAGCAGGAATCACTCTCACAAACCTTCTTGGCAACAGAGGCAACTGCTGTCACAAGGGCAATTAATTACTAACACTAACAGGGCTATGATGTCTTACTTTGGTCCAGTTTTATTCTGGGCAATCATTCATCTCTTACTTCTTATATAAGAAAATAATGCATTGTTCAACTGTTTTTTTCACTGTTCATTGAAAAATCAGTAATTTGGAAAAAAAAGAACAAATTCAGGTAAAAATTGAGGTTACTCTAATCACAGTCTTATTTAAATGTGTATTCCTACAGAGATCTGAAAAGATGTCAAATATCTTCTTGATGTTATCTTCTTGAATGTACCTTTAAAAAAGAAAATCAAATTCGAACTCTCTAAAAAAAACCTGTAGAGTAAGACAGGATGGAAAACAATGCAATATAAAGAACAAGCAATTGAAAACAGAAGTAACAAAAGATAAAGCTCTAGGCAAAAATCTGGATAGCATTTACTTGCTGTATTTCCTTGTTTCAAACTGAGTATATTTTTCTCATGACCAGTGGTCCAAAAATCATTAAAAATAATGGTTTCTGCATTATGCACAGAAGGGAGCATAAAAGGAAGCTAAAATGCTTCCACCTGACCCTCCCACATGCTATTTTCAGGGACATCTCCTCAGTCAGTGTTTCATGTTTAAGAGCCATGCTCAATAAATCATTCAAGCCTCTGCACAGCAACACTGAGCAATGTACCTGTGATTAAGCCTTATTTCCAGTACAGAATTCAGACTGAAAGAACAGTCTTTGAACAATAACTGTTTAAACAAGGTTCTTCTATTGTGCTATTGTAAGATTGCGCTGACTTGCATATCTGAAAAAAAGCCAGTACTGGGTCTTCGTATTTGAGACTGAAAAAGAAAGAAGTATTGCTCTTAGCCTCTGCTTCTTTATTTTGCATTTATCATCCAGGTAGGACTGCACATAGGGAAAAAAAAATTGAAAAGGTTTTTAAGTGACTGTTCTATGAGCTAACATTTCTAGTATGTGGCTGGCATCACACTTAACTGCATGCTTCAGTGAGGAAAACACATCAGCTGAAATAAGCCAGCAAGGCAACTTGTTCTGGCAGAGCCCAGACCTTCTCAGCAGAGGCCGTTCTAGAGTTTTCTCAAAACTTTAATCTAGGGTCAGCAGTCTGTAATATATATATCATTTGTGTAATTTTTGTGAATAAAGTAATGAAACTGCAGTACGAGTGTTTGAAACTAAAAGTTTACTAAAATTGATGCTTTGAGTTTCAACCATGCATTATTACTTGCAACTGGTAATACTAACACTAACTTCAGGGGACATCCCTTTCCCTGCAATCTAATTAGCAAATACTTCTTCCAGCTATCTGGCCGGTTCACAAAATACATGTAATAGCAAACACAGCACAGATATGTCATCTTTCAGTCCTGAGGATTTAACTCATGTGGTTTCCTCATTCTCCAGCAGAGTTTCAGAATTACAGCATGTATTTCATTCCATAAAACTTTGACTATATACAAATTCTGTGGCTTGCCTCCACAAAGTATGTTTTTTATAACTTGCAGATAAATTGATCTTAACATTTTTCTTAGGTTTTTTAGAAAGATGGAGGATAAGTTTTCTTTGAAAACTTTTTTTTCTCCCTTTCCCAGAGTGACAGTATTTTGGTTGGTGGTAGTACAGAAATAGCCCAATAAAATGATCACAGTTTTATTTCTGTATGCTCGTAAATTTTTTTAATATCCACTTTAAAATTTCACTTAACAGTAGTGAAAACAGGGTCAGGTAGTTTTGATGACTACATAAGATATCCTCGTACTTATTGCATTCATTGAATAAAAGAACCAGAACATAATAGGTGAATTTTATCTTATATCCTAGGAAATCCTGCTAAAATAGCAAGCTGAAATTCCAGTGCTCACCTCTCTGTTCTTTCAGGAATACACAACAGGTTGATCATTTCCCTTCATCACTTTTTATCCTAAGTCTCTTCTCCTACAGATGAATGATCATCAAGGACTGCAGCTCTTATTATTATGCACTGGTGTTATTACTCTGTGCTATAGCCCAGTGTCATATGATTTACTTTAGCAGTTAGCACGCAAGAAAAAAAATAATCATCTTCATTTTTAATATGACAAAGACAAACTGGTTACTTTCCATAATTCATATCACCATTAAATCCTTTCCTTTTTGTGTTATCAGAATTAATGTTAGTACCAATGCTATTCTATTTGCTTGAAGTAGCTCATCTCAGGGTTTTTCTTTCTGTTGCTGAGCTGTTCTCAACTCATGAATCCTTTTTGATTTCAAAAAGCTATGCAAGGTGTGTAGGAGCACTTCCCAGGACCATCTAAGAGAAATCCTTGTTGGTAAATTGCTCTGAGCAGATTAGAGAGAAGGCTGAGGGCTCTGAGTTAAGCTCTTAACTGGGCAACACATCTTCCCAGACTTAACATCTCTTTGTATTTGGGAGAGAAAATACCCACACATTCATTTAGAAAACGTTTGAAACATACAATGTGTGACAAAGTACCAAAGTACACTATCTCTGACTTAAACTCACAATATATCAGAAGAGAGCACAAAACTTAAATTTGTTGAAAACTTTGCACTCAGCCACACTGAATCTGGATTTCAGCTCTAGGCAGTGCCAGTGCAGAGTACAGATGGAAGAAGGAAGAAAAGAGCCTCACAGAAAGCAAATAAATGTAGGTTAATATGAAAAACAGAACTGATAGAGGAGTAAATCTTATACTAAATCAGAAATGGCAAGCAATGAATTATTTTTTATGCAATCGAAATTTTAAAAAGGGCATTTTGAGCTTTGTTTCTATATTTTAAGAAGTAAATAACACAGAAAAACTCTTTCAAGTCAAATTTGAAAACAATTATTGAATAAAAAAATCTTGGGCTTAAAATAATTAAAATTACTAAAAGGCAAGTTTACAATAAATACTGCACAAGATGAAAGACAAAGTTGACCACAGTGAATGGAAAAAAAAACACACAAACAAAACCAGAAGATGAAACAATGAAATAGAATGTAAAATCAAAGCATGTTTATAAATAAAATATGATGAAGTTCAAACATGGTGGAAAAAGGTACCATACGAAGTCAACTAGCAAGACAGTACTAGCAATATATATATATTTAATATTCAGAGGAAACTATTTATGTAAATAAGGCTATTTATAAGGCTATTTATATAAAGAAGAAAATAATTATGGAAGTACTAATGCAAAGTCAGCACACCACACTTGACAGACGATTTGAGTCTACTGTAGCTTGCAGACAGGTGACTCAGGCACCAAAATGTGTATTTAATAAGCATAAAGTGCATGAGGAGTGAACAGCACAACTACATTATATATAAACTACATAATGTATTATTAAATTGAACTAAATATAATCGCTCATGTCAGCAGTACCATTCTTCATGTCGGAGTCTGGTCTACTTTACACAAGAGTATGGTCTTGCAAGTGAGTGTATCCCTCCAATGCATACATATCTACACATTGTTCTCCAGTGGGCAAGATGCTGTGACAGCCAGCTTTTCCAGATAACAACTACATTACAACTGAACAGAATTATGCAAGATAATTTCCAAATGTTTCTTTCTCTTTGAAATAAATTTTTCTATGAATATTTCTATATTCCCAGTCTATTCAGCTCTTCTCACAGAATTTTCTTTCAGTTGAAACCCATTTTTCTTTTGAACAGGCAATAGATGCGAGTTGCAGCATGGCAAAATTCAATTAGATAAGCTACTAGGAAAAATAAATTGACAAGACTGGTCAAATATTGGAACAGGCTTCCCAGAAAGGCTGAGGGATCTCCATTTTCCGAGACTTGATTCACAGCATTGAGTAACCTCATCCAGATCTGGAGTTGGATCTAGCTTCAAAATGGCCCTGCTTTCAGTGGAGAATTGGACCAGAAAACCTCCCAAGTCCTCCTCCATTCTACATTATTCTGATTCTATGAGCTAAGGATGGAGTTCATTTCATCTAACTACAACCATGGATATGGGACCATCAAGATTACTATCCTATGGAGACAGGCAAGCACTTGCAGAAGCAAATGCTTTTCTTAAGACTGAGACACTTACTCTTCATGTTTTGTCTCTCCAAAAATTACAGGAAAAAACCTACCATCTTAGACTTTATATGTAACTTCTACACAACTTCAAGTGAGATGGACTCCAGTTTTAGGGACATTTTTTGGATCAACTGCAGGTATATCTTCATATTGAGCTTAATGGATAAACAGAATAGAGAGCTAGTGCAATACAGTGGCTTAATACTGCCACATGTACCATCACCAACAGTCTCCAAATCTACCATTTCAACAACACATTTTCAATCTGTATAAGAGCTTGCAGTTTCTTTTTGAAATGAGGTACTATTTAAATTTCAAAGATCAGTCTCCAGCATAAAGGTTATTTTAGTGCCCTCTGTGGATAACAGATCGATAGCATTTTTTCCACATGATTTGCATAGTTCTGTAGAGAGAATGGACCAAAATCTAGCCAAGTCTTTATTTTTCTAAAAGTAATTGCAACAGAGAGCAGTCAGGACTCTTGATGAACTATCCCCATTGTAACTCACAGGCAGGCCCACAGCCACATACTGTTCCTATCTTCTGTGTGAGATCTCAACAAGCCCCGAGGTCACGGATTGTAAAAGCATTTAATAAAGGCATGTAAATGGTGATCAAATAAGCACAGTGTAGATGATTCTATCTTAAAAGATTTTGCAATCCCTGAGAAATACCAAATCATTGCAGCAAATTTACTGGGAAAAGGTTATAAAAAATCATTAGCTGTTACGGAATGCAGCTTGGTTACTTCTTCTGTTAACTGTGGTATCATATAAAAGAAAAGTGACATGCTAAAAATTCCTATATTCATTAATTCTATTTTCCAATAACAGATTTTAAATAAGATTTGACTAAGACTGAGAGTAACTTGAAGAAAAAGGGATCTTTCTCTGTCTTGTGTGGTTGACTCTCCCCGTGGTAAATGCCGCTGCTGCTCTTGTGTGTTACTTTTATCTTCTTTCTGAGGTAAGAATTATATTGTCTCAGCTTTCCAACAAAAGGTGTTCATGCAATTTGTTAGGAAGAATACTACCTCATATGTCAACATTTTAGTGATGAGTTCTTCACTATAAAGCTTATCTGGTGGTCAAATCCACCTGACCATCTGCACTATAGTAATTTTAATATAAGGTTGTAATTTAAATAATTTTATCATCAATGACTATTATCATTCATCCAGAAACATGGAGCACAGGTTAGAAATCCCATCCTTCCAAAGGAGGTTAAATGAGAAAACAGATAAAGCAAAAATCTGTCTTTGTACAAATACACACAGGAAACTTGTGCCTGACTGGAAAATTTCTGAATCAAAGTAGTTTTGTCAGCAACTGCCAATTTCTTGAACTGAAAGCAATTTGCAAAAAACCACCAGCTTTAATTACACTTCATGTACTTCATCCTGCCAGCTTTGGCACACATAGCTACAATCCATTGGAAATTATAATTCTTCTCTATCAAAACATTTGGCTGGGACTTCAGTCAGTCTAGGTATAGGGCAGCCCCAACTACCTGCCATTTCCCCAGATTTCTCAAGCTCAAGGGAATTCTTGCTACTATACCACATCCCTAGGTTAGATGTAGTCTGCTGAATTTCTGCCCCATTAGATGAATATGAGCTTTGTTGATGGGTCTACTAACAGCCTCCAGCTGGTCAGGTCCACGGCAGGTCTGAAAGAACCCTCTGCAGTTTGCAGGATTTGGCTAATTGCAATTGCCGTACCTGATTTCATATAGGTGAGTATGGCATACAAAGCCAAATTAAAAGGTCTGCCATGTTTGCTACTTGACCTTTCCTTTCTTGTTACCATATTCGTTAAACCTGTTTTCATGCGAAAAAAAGGGTTTGCTTGTTTTTATTTTCTTAACTAAGTATATTTCCTTGACATTTTTAAAGTTGACTGATATTATCAAAAGTAATACAGCTTAATCAAAGACACCTTCCTTCCATACATGTGCTGACCTTGCCTTCCCGCAGCACAAGAATGTGTCCTAGGCTATGATGACAAATTCATATGGATAAAGGTGAATATACTATACAATATATAAAAAGTTACATGCGAAAAGAGAAGAGAAATTAAAACATTGTATGCTTGTTTTCATAATAGCCTTTAACCTTGCATGCTTTCTTCTTCCCTGAAACACTGCCATTTGTTCCCCTCTATGCACAAATTTCTGAATTGCCAAGTGATCTCTGCAAAATTTACAGTGAAGGGAACAGAATCCAGCCCCTCCTGTATGAAAGCAGGAGCAGATCTCTAATTGCACCCATCTTAAATCTATGTCCAGTTTTCTTAAGGTGCAAAGATGAGAGGAAGCTGTTTGTCTTTGTTACAGGTGGAAACTGCAACATGGCTTCTTTTAACCTACAGATTTCCTGTCAAGTTTCTGTGGGCTTAAATGCAAGAGAGAATAAAGTGTAATGCTGTGGAAAATGTCCTGAAGTAGATGGGTTATCAGAGAACAAAGAGCGAAAGCTAACTCTTCTTGCAACAATACCCTTTGCAGAAAACAAGCAAACAAACAAGGAAAACCAAAAACAACAAACAGGAAAACTGCTACAAAGGAAAGAACTTTCCGATGCAGTAGCCTTGTGTGATTTAAAATTATCTTTAATTTCTGCCTCAAAGATTAATGTAAAGACTCAACAATAAACTTACTTGTTTGACTTGAAAATGGGTGAATATGGGCACCAGTACCTCCATCTCAAGGATCCTGGCCATTTGCCTCCACTTACCCGCTTATGAAGCCGTTCTGCTTCCTCCTGGTAGGCAGCAAGCTGTTGCTTCCATTGTTTCACATTGGCAGTGGACTCCAGCAGGGCTGCTGTGAGCTTAGCGTTGTTACCCTTCAGCGTGGCCAGTTCTGCCTCCCAGTGCTTGCTGATTGTCGAACTGCACAGACAGGATGAGAATGATCAGAGCCCCTAGACCTCTTCCTTTTGCCTTCCCCCCTCTCCCTCAAATGTCACTTTTTAAAAAATATTCAGGAAAAATAGAATGATGCAAAAAATCCTATGACTGAATGCTGAAATGAGAATCCAAGTGCCCAAATAATCAAAACTACACATTCAGAAAATACAGATACATCTTTACTGGAAACAAGTTCTACCGTCCTTAGCGTAGGGACTAGTTGTTTTTTTAAAATAAAATATTAAGAATTATGAAATCAACATCAGCTTTCCAAAAGCAATACCATATAATTCTAGGATATGCACATGATTAATTTCTATTTTAACACATACGTATTAAGCGAAAGTGCTTTTCAAATCTACTACTGTATTAAATACATTGTCAAAAAACACTTGTTAGGGAGCTACAGCTTCGTTATCATAATGGAAACCTCCTCACCATGAACTATACTTTATTAAATACCATATATAACCTGTACTTGCAGACTCAAAGGTCTTGAATTTCAGCATTATAAGAATATTTATATGTCTTTGCTAAGTAATATCAGCAAAGAGACTAAAGATCATAGAGACACTAGTGCTTCACTGCAAACAGGAAGCCAATGCCTGAGTTTACTGAAGCAGCCTATGGAGGAACAACCCTTGCTTACAGTTCACTACTCCTCTGAGCACACATAGGGCTTTCATTCTCAGGTAATTAGTTCGCGATCATCCACACACCCTGTCTTCGCACTCAGCACGCAAGGGAAAAACAGAACAGCTGAATGGACTAATATGCAAACAGTTCATTAATGTTTACTTGTATAATGCTAACAGCACATGAGGTGCACACCTACACAGAAAATACACACAAAATAATACCTTGCGTTTAACTGGCTTAATAGTAAAGACATATTTGACAAGATCTGTAACTCTGGCCAATATTATTTTCTAGACAGACTTGTGATGAATGATGAGGAATTACTATAATCTAATTATTCATTATAATAAATATATTTAATACACTTAATTTCAGATTTTTGCATGTACATTTATAGCTTTATTTGATCTTTGTACATATGAACAATTAAACATTTTGCCACCATTTTGTTCACTGAGTTTCTTTCTTTGATTTATGCATATGCACAGCCCCTCCCACCAAAGTGTATTTCAAAAACATTATGACGCCTACAAATGCTCCCTAGGTGTTCAAGATCAACCAGCTGCCAAGGAACATTCATTACCAATTCAGTTCACATCTAATGTTTCCCTAAAACATGGTGTCTGATTCTACCACGCTCCAGCACTTCCTTCCAAATGTGCTGCTTTTTCCCCTTGAACAGGAATGCAAGTTCCTTCAGAAGAGGAATACAGACTCTTTCACATTGCTGTGGCATTTCATAATCTATTCAACTAATTAGAAGTTCACCCCTGGAAATTTTAAATCTTAAATAACTAAACTAAAATAATGGTAATCCTACCTCACTGGGGAACACTGACTCACATATTGAAGAACGTAAGAACAAATTTCTGTAACAATGTCTACTCTATAGCTCTAATCAGATTTACTTTTCACATACAATAGTACCGTAGATCAACCAAATCTATTAAAAACATGCTTAAACATGTTGTTGTTTTGTTGTTTTGGTTGTTTTTTTTAAAAAAACATGTTAAAAACCCCACTTTGTTTTGTTTTAAAACTTAAAGTAGGATAAGTTCATTATCGTATTCCTAACTCCTCCTTCATGTTCCAACTGGGCAACCAAATACCTGCTCCAGCCATTTCATGTCAGTACTGTTTAGCAGTCATGCTGCTGCAAGACTAGTAGCAAATGGTGCGTGACACCTACACATTTTTACAGAATGTGCCTTACAACTCTTCTTTCCCCACGGAAGACATAAACACACAAGATTTCATATTGATGTAACATAGCAGATTAAAAGCTTTGTATCTGGGAGACTTATAATGAGAACTGCTTAATCATTTCATACCCTTATTTCATATGCAAAAAGGGAAGTGGTTTGGTTTTTTTTTCCCAATGAAATAATCTGTATATCCACAATGATACCAGGTGAACTTTTAATCCATGAAGATCCCAGAAGACAGACTCTCAGGTAGTACTGAGTAATAACATAAGGGGGATTTGTGGCATGTTTCACTTTCACCTTGCCCAGTGACCCTACCAGCCCACTAAGAAAACAGTCACGAGCTCTTAAGTTATTGCATGTGTACTGGTATGTTGGTATTAAATATGAAGAATGTATTTCCTATTACTGCTATAAATACCCTCCTGCAAAAGCTAGAAGGTTTATTTTAAACTGGTTACTTTAAAATCTATTGTTTTCAGTAGGAATGCACTAGTATTATTTCTAAATCATTCTTTTTATCACTAAGAGCTCTACAAAGTCAGCACGAATATGCATATTGTAATGCAAATGTTATTTTGCATTACATTTAAAAAAAAACCTTTTTTTCTACAAATATTTTCTAGTTTTTTCTGTAGAAAAATATAGCTATGGCTGCATAAAACAGAAACATATTATTTAAATCAGTCTAGTTTTGTATCTGATAATACACAATGACTTACTGACTATTTAGTCTTATCCCATTTCTTCTTACAAAACTCCAAATACTCTGACATAAACACAATCACGTGATGGAGATCATATTAGGAAACAGAACCAAAGACATGAATTTTTTGTTTCATAAAATGGTAATTTGATTAAAATTGCTCATAAACAATCCTGGCAGTGCTGATTTACTTTTTTTAAAGACTCTCTTGACAAACTAAAGAAGACAGAAAAAATAAAATAAAATAAAATAACATAAAATAAAATAAAATAAAATAAAATAACTAAAATTATGCTTAGTGTATTATGTTGGTTATAACTGGATTTATATGGATTTAGATTAATTATTTTAGGACCAAATGAAAGCACATTTACAGCAGACTGCCCTTAAACTAGACTAAGAATATATGCACAGAAGAGCATGCCTGTAGAGCTACACTGGTTCAAGTTCATCAGCACTTCCGGGAAAAGCTGAGAAACATATGGTTCAGATACAATGAGAATTCTCCCTCAGAAGTGAAGATACTGGGGCTAACACTCAGGAGAGGGAACACACAGAGCCAGAGGATGGAGTTCATTTGCAGAAAATTCAAGGGGCTCCTAACAACTGTTACAGCCCACAGCCAGAATTTTGATGGTGAAACAGCTGCATTACAGTCCCTCAGGATAGGTACAGGAGGGCTGCACGTAGTCTTTCTCTGTAAAACCTTTTACTCGATTACTGCTCGAAAGGCTTTTTGCTGAAAGGAATTGATTTTGCCCTCAATGCATTAGATTCTGTCATAGAAAACACACAGGGAGCTCTCTCAGGTTGACTTAACAGCTGTAAATATCTAAACCAAATCCAAATCATTCCTCATGTGTTCTGAGATTAGTTGCTCTTGGAAGCACATGAAATATGAACACTTACTCCGTGGTCAACATGATTGAAACTGCAATGCAACTTCTACCAGAACATCTTTCAGCTTTGCTCTGCGGTGCAAAGAGCAAAGCTGTATGTACACATCCTGGGACACAAGCATACATGTTTTTAGTCCTGTGGTGCAAGAATTCAACATGCATAAATGTTTCAGTTTGTTGAAATCCACCCATTCCTTTGCTGGCAGTGTCACAATTTTAACAGTTATTTCTTCAGACCTGACAGAATGAACATGACTGACTGCTTGGCACACTCAGAGTTTCAAGACGGTCCTTTAAAAAAAGAAATATCTTTAACACTTCTATATGTTGCCCGTCTCTCAGAGTAAAAGTGTCCATTTTAAAAAAATCAATTAAAAATAGTTTTAAAAATATCCTAACAGAGAATAAAGCCTGGTCATTTCCCTTGTGAAACTCCTGAATATCTGAAAATAAAGAGAACAAGCTACTTTGCATACATCAGTACATTAGTGCCAAATACAAGAGAGAGAATGGGCCTCTAGTGGATAAGATGAATTTTATTGGCTCATCTGATCACAGTATACAAAAAAAGGCTTTTGTGACAGAGGTTTAGGTCTGATTGCACAGCAAATTATTTTTATAACGACAACTGTTCACAGGATTGTAAGCACTTGCTGGTGAGCAAAAGACCAAAACTCTCCAGAATCTCTGATCCTTGGTGCTGGCCACAGTCTCTGGTACATGTGTAACATCAGACAAGTCCACAGTCAGAACACCATATGGTGCTGCACCATGAAGGCAGCGGATTCAAAGTCAGACATTTAACATCTGTGGCATCCAGCAACTTGATCACTATCACAGAACACTCCTAGAACAACTGCTGGCTGGTACCATATAACTGTGCCATCTACTGAAAATTAAAGTCAATGTCAATGGTCTTCCATACTTGACCAATTAACATCAGGCCGATCTCCTTTCTCACTGGGGATTAGTTACAGCCCTAGCAAGTCACTGAGGAATAGCTTTGCTATCTGTCCATCTGTGACCTGAATAGAGTGCCAGAGGCTATAAACACATGATTATCTTTCTCTGCAAAGTAGGTCACTAAAGGAAAATTAATCTGAAAAGCTCCAGTCACCACGCTTAGCCAGTTGGCGAAGGTCTGCAAAGGCAGGGGGTGGGGAGCACACATTAATGAGTTGCATTCAGAATGAAGTTATTTTGAGAGATGCCTTCATGAAACAAAGAAAGAAAAGCAGTTCAAATCAAAATATGTTTTCTGCTTATTGAATCAGCATTGTTTGTTCATAGTTTGCTGAGCTGTATGCAGTACCAACACTATAAAACATGGTTTAAACTTTATTTCAGATCTATAGAAATGAAATGTGTGCCAAATTCCGCTTTATTAATATTTGATGTGTTTTAATATTAGATTCATTGCATAAAATGAATTAATTTTAAAATTTTATTTCTTACTACAGCATAGTCTTGGTTCAAAGAACTAGAGTCAGTCACACACAAACTCTTCTCTTCAGGTGTCACTGTGATCTGCAC